GGGGGGAAGCGGGCGGGGCTGCCCCGCCGCCACCGGGGGCAGCGCCGAAATGGCGGCGCCTCCTCAGGCCGATGGCACCATGGGAGGTGTAGTCCGCCCCGCCACCGCCGCCTCAGGCCTCCGGCGGGAAGGGGAGGGAGCGGCCAGAAACACCGTCAAATCCCTCACCAGCGGGGGTCTACCCCCTCTTCCACGTCGGCCCCGGGTAGCTTAGGAGCCCTCGGGCAGAGGGGCGCAGCTGTTTTAACCGCAGTTTCCATCCTTGCCACCGTCAGCAAAGCGTCAGTTGAACACAGGGCTGGTTTTCCCCTCGTGGCTGGTGCTCTGCTGAGACTACAGCCTGCTGTCTTCTGAGTCTTTCCCATTGCAATTTATTTTTTCCATTTTTTTTTAAAAACATTTTCTTTTTTACATTTCTGCCTGGATAGGGAGGAGGTGGAGTGAGCCTGGAGGGGCCCATTTTGTTTGTTCCCCCCATTGCAGCACAAGTGAGATCCCTGAGCGGCAGAGGTCACAGCAGCCAGCCCGCCAGTCACCCCCAGCAGCTGTGAAGACCAGGCGCTCACCTGCATGGCAGAAACAGTTTGAATCTGGGTTTCCAAGGAGCAGAGTCTCACACAAGTGGAGCAGCAAAATTAATTATTTATTGATTGGCAGTACAGGGAAAAATAGCAGCTCGAGCCGGGTGCCTCCACGGAGGGACATCAAAACAAAGAAATTCTGGAGTAGTTATACCCCTTATAGTCTTATTTCCCCCCTGCCAGGGAAGGTCTCTTTCAGTCTTCTTTACTGAGTCAGTGGTCTCTCTCTTTCTGATTGGTCCTGGCCTACATCCCAGGTTGGTTACCATGTCTTTGTCTTCCACAGTCCCTTATCTCACTTGAAGGTCAGCCAAAACCCAGGTGCATCCCATCCCATCTCATCTCCTGCATCCTGCTTTGCATCCTCATTAGCTGCTTTTAATTGGTTTTGCAGTTGCATCATCAGCAATGTTTCTTGAGTTCCTTGACAGCTCAGCCTTGGGCCTACATGCTCCATCTACTTTAGATACTAGTGCTAAGCAGGAGGAGTTAGGCTTATGCTAAGTTAAAGCTAAATGAGTTACAGCTTCCTCCTCTAACACCTGTAACAGCACAGGACAGCACTTGGTCTGCTGGTAGTTTGAGAGCGAGTTTCTGGGAAGGGCAAGACACATTTGTTGATAAGAGAAAAATTTGGTGCTTGTGAAGGGAATGAGAAACTTCATGAAGTGTGCGTGCACATGCGTACACATGCTGTGTGTGGCTTCTTTTGATTACATGATTGTCACGTAATCAGTTTTACTACTCCACAGCTTGTGTGTTGGAAATAATTACTAGCCTGATTATAGCCTTCAGCTGATCACCTCAGATGGAGGTTGCTTCTGAAGTAACTCATGAACTGCAAAACCTTACATACCAGTGCTATATGTCAAACCAGAATTTGCACCAGCTTGCCTCAGAAAACAGTTACATGATGCTCTCCTGCAGACACCTGCTAAATATGATGAGAAAATACACCAGTAAAACAGACTAACTGGCAATTCAGGAAGAGCTTGAATGCACAGAATCACAGAAAATTGACAGTTGAAGGAACCTCTGGAGACCTTCCAGTCCAACTGCCCCTGCTCAAAGCAGGGTCACCTGGAGCAGGTTGCCCAGGACCATGTCCAGACAGGTTTTGACGGTCTCCAGGGTTAAAGGCTCCACTATCTCTGGGCACCTGTTTCAGTGTTCAGCCACCCAAAAACAGTTTGAAATACCAAAAATTCCATTAAAAATGCAATTTTGTGCCCATTGTCTCTTGTCCTCAGTAGCACCAGTGATAGAATCTGTCTCCATCTTCTATACTTCCTCCCATCAAGTATAGATGCACATTGGTGGGATCCCCTGAGCCTTTTCTTCTCCAGGCTAAGCTGTCCTAGCCTCTCCTTGTGTGACAGATGCTCCAGTGCCTTAATCATCTTAGTAGCCCTTCACTGGACTTCCTCCAGGAGCTCCGTGTCTCTGCTGTGGTGGGGAGCTCAGAACTTGACCCAGCACTCCAGATACGGCCTCACCAGTGCTGAGTAAAGGAGAAGGATCACCTCCCTTGACCTTCTGGCAACACTGCCTAATGCTGCCCAGGATGCTGTTGGCCGCCTTGGCCACAAGGACACATTTCTGGCTCACAGTCAACTTGTTGTCATCCCCCTCCCCCCCCAATCCCCTGGGGTCTTTTCTGCAATGCTCCTTTGCAGCCAGTCAGCTCCCAGCCTTTACTGGTGCATATTTTCCTTTGTTGAACTTCACAGGATTCTTCTCTGCCCACAGCGTGTCAAGGTCACTCTCAATAGCAGCACAATCCTCTGGTGTATCAGCCACTCCTCCCAATTCTGTATCACCTGCAGGCTTGTTGAGGGTACATTTCATCTCATCATCCAGATCATTGATGAAGATGCTCAACAGTATTGGAGCTATATCAACCCCTGAGGGACTAATGACTGACCTCCAGCTGGACTTCATATCACCAATCACCACCCTCTAAGCGAGAGAGGGTAAAGAGTTTCCAGTCCACTTCTATTTATCTAGCCCATAACATCCTCAGGCAAGCTGATGAAGTATATGGAAGACAGTGTTGAAAGCATTGCTAAAATGAAGATAAACAATATCTTCTATTCTCCCCTCATCCACCAAGCCAGTCATCTCATCATAGAATGCTATTGAGGTGGTTAAGCAGAATTTCCCCTTCATAAATGCATACTGACTACTTCCAATCACTTTCTTGTCCTTTATGCATTTGGAAATGGCTTCCAGGATTATTTACTCACCATCCTTCCAGGGATCAAGGTGAGGCTGACCATCCTATAGTTCCCTAGTTCATCTGGAAGGGGGAGATGACATTTGCTTTCCTCTAGTCCTCAGGAACGTCTCCTGATCACTATGACCTTTCAAAGTGAATCAAGAGCAGCCTCCCAGTGACATTGGCCAGCTCCCTCAGCTCTCATGGGTGCATGCCATCAGGTCCATGGATTTATTAATGTGCAGCCTCAGCGTTCCCTAACCTGATGCTCCTCCAATCAAAGGTAAGCCTTCCTTGCTCCAGACTTCCCATCTCAGGGGCTTGGATTCCTGAAGCCACATCTTACCAGTAAAGACCAAGGAGAAAGCAGCATTCAGTACCTGCAAGATAAGTGTAATGAACTTTTAACTTTAACCCAAGCTTCGGATGCAAGTTAAGAGCAAACAGAACTGCTGACACAGAAAGAGGAAGTTTGAAATGTTCCAGAGGAAGAGAATGTGGTCAACTTAGAGCAAACCAAATGTTCTAGAGAAGGGAGATGTGATAAATTAAGAACCAAACTGCACAACTTGGAACAAACAGAACTGACTGTTGATAAGGAAGGAAAACATAAGACAGACATCCATTACTAAGTAATCTAACGTAATCAGCAACCACAAAATCAGCATCATGTACCAACCAATGAATTTGTCACAACTCTAGTCAGCATCATGTATTAACCAATAGATTTGCTTTACCAACAGTGATGTAATGCTAGCAAGCATATAAAAGAGGGGAATAAAAAACAGGGTCCCTCTTCAGAGCTGCTTTTCACTACAAGTCTGACTCTTTATTCCCAAGATTCCAAATTTTTCTGTTACAGTACCTTAACCATTTCCATGTCCTTTATCACCAGGGCCCTAGCCCTATTCAGCAGCAGGCCCACCTTTTTCTTAGTCTTCCTGTCAGCTGATAAACCTGTAAAACCCCTTTTTGTTGCCCTTCACACCCCATACTAGATTCAATTCCAGATGAGGTTTGGAGTTCCTGACCCCACCCCCAAATGCTCAGACAGTGTCTCAATATTCCTCCTAGGTCACCTATTCCTGCTTGCATCCCTTGTATGCTTCCATTTGATGTTTGAGCATAGCCAAGAGCTCCTTGTTCATCCACACAAGCCCCCTGCCACCTTGGCAGGATTTTCTGCTCATTAGGATAGGCCATTCCTGAGCTTGACACAGATCCTCAACAATCACACAAGCTAGAAGATCGTCTCCTACAGCCACAGCAAGAGACCCCAGGGATCCCTGCAGCCCCAGCCCTGCATTCTCCTTCTGGAGCTCTATCTGGGTTGAGGCATTTGACATTACAGAGAAAGTTACCTCAAAGTCTACTGGAGACTGTGCCCCATGGTGCTGTTAACCATTGTTGGGGAAGCACATGCCATTCAGGAAAAAGAAAGAAGGAAGGAAGAAGAAGAAGAAAAAAAAACCACCAGCCCCACCAGAGCCCCCTCCTACACCAGCAGCTATACCTGTCTACTATACTTTGGGCCCAGCTCCTACATATGCCTCTCCCCAGCAATGGCTAAAAGGGTGCTTGACCCTCCCTAATCAGGGGTCAGCTGGAACAAAATTTTGCTCCAAGCACCTTTGATCAAGGACAGCTGACAGAGCTTGTTAGAGCTTATCGTGCAGCCAACTTAACTGTTATGTTAGTACTTTATTTACTTTATAGCTTGCCAACTGCTAAATACATTTA